TTATGCATCGTTGTAAATGACTTCGACGATCCACTATCATTTATGAAATCTCTGATCTATCAAATAATGCAAAATTATTCAATTCGACATGCAGAAATATATCTATTACAAGATAGTAAAAAATTTTATTTCTTTTTTCAAATAATATTTAATGAGATTTTCTTTTTACAGCTCTATGATTAGATGATCTTGATGCAAGTTTACATTTATTAAATAATGATGAAATATGTGATTTTTATAAAACAAAACAATACTTCGTTCAACAACAACAACAAATCGCGATTATCTATTATTGAACGAGTTTGGTATTTATTCCAAAATTTTCGAATAAATAATACTATTATTCAGATTAAAACGAATAATAATTAAAAATGCATTTACTCTTCTGTCAAAAAGATTTTGTTTTTGTTAATTGAAATTTATTCATAAAAATTTATTTAGATATAACTAATATTATTAAATAACTCATGAACAACTCAAACTGTAAGATAAATTAATTAATGAACTTAAAATCTTCTTTTTTCACCTGATAATGTTCGTACTCGAAATTTTATCTTGATTAACTGAAGTATTACAATTAGCGTAAGATTATAATGAATCAATGAAATTATTATACAATAGTTATTAAGTGATTTTTTTCTTTAATTTTTTTTTGTTCTATTTGAACAAATTAATTCGGTTTAAATTGAACAATGTATAATCGATATCATTGTAGTAAATTATGGAATTCATTTATTACTTGACAAAGTCGGTAATTGTCCCAGATGCTATGACAGAGCTAGAAAATTAATATACTCGATCGAAATCAAAACGAATACGTCGACTAGTAACATCGGTAATAGATAAACGCGAGCATTCAATATTAAATGTACTAGTGCTAAAAAAAAAAGTTAGATTTAATCTAAAAAAAAATTTTAATTTTGTAAATTAGGTTAAAGTTACTGGTCGTCTATTTCGAAGAAGTAACAAGATTAATTAGAGAATTTCAGCGTGAAAATGATCGTAAAAGTATAGTTAGAATATTCAAAGAAATTGTGAAGAAGAATTGGAATGTGTAGAATCTAACAATGAGTACAATTATAAATTGGGAATTAATTTCAATAAAATCAACCTTACTAGTAAGAATATTTATTCTCTTATTTCTTATTTTGTAATAATAAACCAAACGAATGCTTTGATATGTTTAACATCGGAACAAATTCAATCTCAAAAAAAAAGAAAAATACAAATTAAAATTCATTTGTTAAAGTTAAAAATCATAATGATCATCTTGTATATCATCAAATTATTTGACTTGATAAATTAGTTTAATTTACAATTAATTGTGAAGTATATGTAAGAATATTTTCAATCTAAAATATTTTCAGATAAATTCAATATTTTTAGTAATTGGTGCAAAGAAATTATTTCAACGAACATCATCTACTATTTAATTAAATTATTTTATTAAAATAAATCAATTTCATCGTCAAATTCTTTTTAGATTGTGTTTTGAAAAAGGTCTTTTTGTATGTTGTAGAAGTTTCACAATTGAACAAGAAGAAGAGAAAAATGATAATGACGAAGTTGTTGAAGAAGAAGTGTCTATTGAAGATAATCAATGAACATCATTATAAACGACGTGATGTAAAAATAAAAAAAAAGGATCTTGAAGTTCGTAAGCCTCTTTATTTATAAAATTTTTATTTTCATTTTTAAGTTTAAGGAAAGAATATATCATTAAAACTTCATTGGTTGAGGTATTTTCTTAATTTATTACTTTATAATAAAGTAATAAATAATTATCTTTCAGGAGAAAATTTTTATTAAAATTCATTAGATATCATTTGAAAGTGTTCAAATTGATAAATATCAAATAAAAATGCTACTACAAACTTTTTTGTTGCACGAGGCAGAGAAATATTCTTTACATGAGATGATAAAATTTTATGTTTGAATATCTATAGAAAATATATAGACTGTATCAGGTTACTGTGATAATACAAGAAACAATAAAAATCAGATAGTTTTTGAATTAATTTTTATTTGAAAGCGTATTGAAACAAGTGAAAATTATGAGAGTAATTTAAAATGTCTTGCACCATATCAACGTGCTGTTCAACATGGAAATTTTACTTTAATTTAATTTCAATTTTATATCTCTTTATTTCATTGAATTTATTTACTAGTTATCGAACATAAATGAATGTTTATCGACTTGTACCATTGAATAAAAATCTTTTAAACACATATTATTGTAGATTTTTGTAAGAAACCATTTTAATCAATATATTCACATGAAAAAATAATTACTACATTGATATTTATTATGAAAATGTCGACTTAATGGACTTGATAATTTCTCCTGTTTTGTTGTGAGTATTTAAAAACTTCAGTCCTTCATCAGTTCTTCTTTTTAATTTATAGAGTTACAATATACTTTAATTCAGATAATTGAAATATTCGAATAAGATGATGGATAGAATTCGATAATATAGACAACACTTTCATTCATATTGTTGTTACATTTCTAGGAAAATTGGTATATGATGATTGGTTCTGTTTTTGGATTATATAGCAGATTCATTGGTATTAGTACTGATTATCATTGCTAAAATAAATGAGCTCAAACTGTTGCCTTCATATGTATTCCTTATTATTTTTAACAAATCAAATCAAATCAAAAGTTCGTAATGAGATATGAATAATAAAGAAAAAGCATAACTACTGTATGAGAATTTTTGATAATTCCAGTTTGCAATGTCATTACGGAGTGATTCATCATGAATACCAATTTAGTTTCAGAGCAAGTCGAAACTATTTTTTTTGAATTAAAAGATGCAACGAAAAAATGTGAATAGACAAATTCATGCTTTTTTTGTCATAATTCGTGTCATAATTTCTTCAAGGGTATGGGTGTGGATTTTCTCATCACAGACATGCCCACACGCACGCCCACACCCTCTTTTCGGTCGATTCTAGGAGGATGTATGATCGTAATTTAAATGAAAATTCACTATAATTCGAGGTGGCTTTGAGATGAAATTTTCTTTTGCCTAAAGAATGCGCCGATGCTTCTCGTCGAAATTCTGATTTACTATGGAACTTGAGTTCGGCAGCAGCTTTGGGCTATATGCATAAGTCGTCTCAATTCGAGCTATATAATTGAGGTCAAAACTTTTTTTCTTCGGTCAAAGTTACATAGATAAGTCATGTCAATTCGAGTTATATAATCAGGCTAAAATTTTTTCCTTTGATCGTCTGAATAGAGGCTGGGTTTTTTGCGAAATTTTCATTTATATTCGAACTCGAATTAGGCAGGTACTATTAACACATGCTTTTATTTTCATTGCTAATAATTGAAAGATGTCTCGTATTTATTTCAGAACTTTCTTTATGAAGTCGCACATTAAATCTTTCCAACTCTTCAAAAGTAAATAATAAAATGAAAGTTAATCAATATTTATTATGTCATCTGGATAAGAAATAAGAGATGTGCGAAAATGAAGAATGTTCCTTGAAACAATTCCTTTATGAGTTTGTTGGTGGTGAAATAAATCTACCACTAAATAAGACAATATTTTGTCGACTTTCACGAATGAAGAATAAAAATGGACGATCAGCTTTGAATTCAATGGGATGTAGTGGTTGATGAACTGATGCAAGAATAGTGATGATAACGGCTGTAGCTGCTGCTGCTTCTGATCCTAAATGAAAGAGGAGAAAAAAAAACATAAAAGAAAATCTGTGAATTGCTAAACATGTCTTCAAACAGATAGTAAAAATTTAGTACAAACATACTCAATTATTCTTATTTAAATGTATCACAAACATGTACTTTATTATCGAGAAAACTTATTTTTGATTAACTTCTGAGTGAATTTTATATATGCAAATATTGAAGCATATATTAACAAGATAAACTTGTAGATCTAAGAAATTTTCCAGTTAATAGCGTGAGATTTGTTTTTAATTTCTCGAATAGAAAACAAAAACAGATGGTCATTGTCAAATTCAATGAATCCGATGTTTGATGCTTTTCAATATCTTTTCATAAACTCTACAGTAGTAGCAACTATCGCTTTCGACTCTTTGCTGAAAAGAATAAAAACTAAAAAATATTCTTTGTTTAAGATAGGAATCAGTTAAAACAATCAAATTACAGTCATCATCATTAATTAAGAAGTCATTCGAATCATAGATAGAAAATTAGAGCTCTGAATAAGATGGGGCAATCCTATTTCATCCGATCTCTTTCTATGAAATTGTTGTCCTTTATTCTCATGAAACAACCCAAAGTCGTTTTTCTGTTGAAATGTGTTGCAACAGGGTACTGTATGGAAGCTCCGAGTAGTCAAATTCATTATAGCCTCATTGTTTATCATATTCTTCAATATAAATAGGATCATTACTGACTTTTTCTCAAGCAGGTATCAGCGATTTGTGATTTCGTGAGTTTAGTGAGTTTGAGTGAATTTAGATAAGTGTGGCTGATTTTATCGTGTGAATGGATTTTTCAATAAATGAGAGCAGCAACGATGGCGAATGAGTCTGGCAAATAGTGGAAATTGGAATTGGAGTGTCTAAGACTAAATATCAGAAACTCCACTAGACTCTATGAACTCCTGTTGTTACCTCACCAAAACCAACTAAACTGACCTCAATTGACCTAAGCTTCAAGAAATCACTTTATTTCACTTGAAATCAATCAAAATTACAAAATCATTGATCGTTGATACTTGACGTCCTACGATTCCATGTATCCACCTTTACTAGAAAGATAACTGCTTGCTACTACAAAACAAATAGAATATCTGATAATTAGGTACAAGCCCAATACTTTTCCATATCATAGATATTATTCAAAATTCTTAGTTATTAATCAAATGAAAATATTGTTCTCACTTATGCCTCAAAACCTAACAATAGTGAAACCACCGATGTAGTCGAGTTCAACCTGGTTCTGCGCTGATTGCGGAAGGTTTTTATCGATTATAAGCATACTCTCATGACTTTTAGAGTGATTTACAAGACTTCTGACAAGTATACTGACTCATGATTTGTATGAGTTTAATTGATTTAGAGTGAGTTTAAGTAAGTTTTAATGAGTTTTAGTGAGTGAGGGATTGATTTAAATCAGTTGATACCCCCTTGCTTTTTCTGCTATTTTTCATGCAAAACTTTGCTATTATTTTTCAGAAGTTGAAACAATAAAATCTAAAATTATTTTTATAGAATTCTATGTGCTTCATACTAGTTTTTATTTATTAACACACTCCCTCATAAGTGTTGATTATGTAGATAAAAAGACATAACTATGAAGACTCTTAAGTTCACATAACCTTTCCACTCAATTTTTTATAAGTTTTAGTTTAATGAGAAGTGATTGTTAACAATCTGAGAAAACTAAGAAAACTTATCAGAAGCTGAAAATTCATGGATAAAAAAATGTACTGAAGAAGAAACTCTATTACTTCCAAATGCATAGATGCATGGAAATGAAATTCTCTAAGACAAAATGTAGAGAGTAGATTCTGATGGAATCGAGTAAATTTCGACAGATTTTAACGGATTCTAATGAATTTACTGTCATGTTCATAGTGATTCGTCAAGACCCTAATACTCTAGATTTAGAATTTCATTCTTGACAAAAACAGTACAATAATTAATACGAAAAAAAAATAAATATCAACTAAAGTGATCAAAACATGACTTGATAGAAGGAAACGAAGATGATTGAATAAAAAAATCTTATAAGCCGACTCAAGACTTAAAAAAGAACCTTTTTTGTATTAGATGCGGTGTCCAATAGGATGCGATGGGACAAATCAGTTTATTCTACAGGAGGATTGTTTCATCACATTGAGAACTTTACGAAAAATATTTTCAGTATGTTTTATACTCATTTATATCAATAACTTTGATTTCTTTTAACAAAAGATTCGACGATAAACTGTTAAAAAATGAAATATCATATTTTACTGTTTTTTTTCTCCAATGAAAAACAAAAATGATCAACGATAGGTTTAAACTCAATTGCCATATTCATTAGCTTCCAAATATATTTTTCTCGTCCTGTTATTACTCTTGTTCCTTCAAAGGCTTTACAATTAAGATATATTGCCTTTATCAAACAGATTACTTTTCAAAGAAGATAAAAACAACTAACCTTGTTCGTTTACATCAATAAACGCTTTGTGAATAACCTAAAATATTAGCACTGATTAACATTTTCTTATCAATAAATGATTTACCTTGCTAATGTATAAATGATCTTTATTATTTTTTTCACTAACAATACCTGAAAAATTTGCTTTATCATCTCTAAATGCATCTTTCATTCCAAGTTGTTGAAGAATATCACTTAATTCAAATGTAGTTTCCATTTTAAATTTTGGTAAATATAAAAGAAGTTCTTCTGTTTTTGTATTTTGATGACTTAATAAATTTTGCATTAAATCAGGTCGTGACGCTAATTTTTGTTCGACAACATCTAATTGAACTCCTCGATTAGGTAAAATTACTGTAAAAACAAATTCAACATCTTTATTTTCACTTTTATATGGTACATGAACAATTTGTACATATAAATCATTATTCTCAGCGTAAGCATATTTCTCTCGTTGATGCATTAATGTTACTTTAGAAATTTTACCATTTGTTTCATAAAAATCAGCATTTTTCTTTGTTAAATTTTGGTTAAATTCTTTTATCCATGTACCCTATTATGTAATTAATCAAAAATAAATTAGTTTGTCTTTCATTAAAATGAATATTTACCTTGAAATAAATACTATTAATAATTATTAATCTTGTTTCAGGTGTCACATCTTTTGTTGAAAGTAAATTTCGAATTAAATTATTTGTTTGTTGTTCAACCCATGTATTGATTCTTTGAACAACTTGAGCACTTTCATTTTCAAAATCTTCAAGTTTAATATCTGCTTTAAATGCATTTTGAAGAATTTTTAAATATTCTTCTTGAAGTTGATATGCTTTTTGTGCATAAAGACGATTAGCTAGTTTAAGTTGAACTTGTTTATCTTGATTAGCAATGGAAAAGATATGCATCATTTGTTCAGCTGTTTCTATTAATTGATTTCTTGATGATACTTCAAATGTTTTTAACATTTGATGTAGTGTTTCTTGTTGAGCACCAACTGCACACATTGACATTGCAAGAGAAATACTTGCTGGTGAAAAAAATACATTTTGATTCTTCTTATTTTGACTAAGAGTAGAATAAAGTTTCAGATCAAATTCTTCAAAGCTTGAAGCTGGTGGTGATGATGATGGTGCTGATGATGATAAAGCCACAAGAAGAAGAAGTAAATGGATTACTGTCATCAAAATCATATCTTCAATAGAAATATTTATCTTGTTGAAGAAATCTTTGAGATTTTTTATAGATATTATCCTGATGTTTCATTTTATTTTCAAGAAAAAAACTAACATAAAAATTGGCAATAGAAATGCAAAGAATGATTTCTTGAATGTCGGGCCTCATTCATTCTGCATTTCAACAATTATCCTTTTCTTTTTTTTTGTCTTAAGAATTTTTATCACTATTTTGAGAAGAAAAACTTTAGAATAATTTGTGTTAAAAGCTGTAATTCGATTATTGATATTTCTATGACAATGAAAATATTCTTCAGAAGAGTATGAAATTAAAGAATCTTATTCAGTTCTTCAATCCCTGATATTCCTATGGACTTGTGTTAGAATGAATCATTCATTTATAAATGAAAGTGCATATTACTATTGCTCTATATGGATTTATGTACATTGTAGTTATTCTTCACTCATCAGAACCATAATCTTTGCTTATTGAATGATTACATTGGATTTTCTTAGGGTCAAATATTAGAGTAAAAAAAGATAAGTATACTTTACACGATATTTTATTATAGAAGAGTCATTTGCATTAGGATTCTGCATCGGATCAGATTGATAAAACCAACATGTCCTATTTATGCAACACAGTTTGGACGACTCCTCTATATTATCAATCCAATGTTTGTGATCAATACACGCACGGAACTCACTAGAAAGAATGAACAATGAAGCTGATGTACTTCATGGGGACCTATTGAGTTTATCTACCAGATCTGATGCAGAGCTCTAATTTGCATAAATTTCCAGAACAATCAATCGATGGTTTAATCGTATAAATCTCTCATTATATTTCTTCATTTTCTTAACAATTTCTTGTTAGATCTAGAAGATGAAAACTTAGCTAAATAACTGAATAATGGACTATGACTTTCTTTATTGACTATAGGTACTTACTCAGAAGAGAGAAGAATATGTGTCGACTGAAAGAAGGATGGATGGATGGATTATATAAAGTGAATAAGGGATGATTATCGCACTTTATCTTACGCGGGAATCTCTTCAGCTGCTAAGAAGCATTTGAGGCCAAGTTTCACTCACAAGTAGATATGGCGTAGACAACAAAAAAATGTGTGTATATAAAAGGTTATAAGTCCTAAATGCAATTTGATGGAGCTATCATTTTCATAAGAAGACATCACTTTTCTAATTAATTCAAAGTTTCGAATGTAGACATGTAACTTTGTCTATAGCAGATATCGATCAGACTATCTTGCCTTCAAAGTTTCAAAACTGTTGGATAGATTGTCTCCGAAATATGGATTTTTCAAAATATTCGTGCATAATACAATAGCCATAAAAAAAGGGTGTCTTTGTAGCAACAGACTAGTATCTCTGAGACAATTTTTCTAAAAGTTCTGAAATATTGAAGGCAAGCTAGTCTGATCAATGTCTGCTATAGACAAAGTTGCATGTCTACATTCGAAACTTTGATTTAATTAGAAAAGTGATGTCTTCTTATGAAAATTATAGTAAAAAGTCGATAGCTCCACCAAATGGCATTTTGTCCTCATAACCTTTTATATTTTTTTCTAGTCGATGCCTTGTCTACCAGTAGGCAAAATTTAAGCTCAAAAGCTTTTAGCATCTGAAGAAATTCCCTTATGAAATAAAGTCGTGGACAAAGATGGGATCGGTTCGGTTTGAAGAAAATGAAAAGCTGTTTTATATCTATTATTAATTTTTTATCATAAAAACGGACAGAATGATCTCCAGATATGACCAGACATGTTTTTTGGAGTCAAATAGCCTCCTTTTACAGAATATTGAAAGCACAGTTTTTGATTAACTGCGATCTGAATCAAGGCTAGCGTATCAGAAAAGAATAAAAACACTGAGATTACTTTCTTTAAGGCAAGCTCAACAATAACTATTTATCATTTGATGAAATGCGATAACCCTTGTACTGGAAGGGGTCCACTACTCTTATGTTCTACTTTTGAGACATTTAAAAATAGATTTTATATCTGACTTTAGTTATTTGATATAAAGTGTTCTGCTCTACAAAACTGGCGACTTTGTTTTTTCAAACGAAACGTTCTCGTCTTCATAAAATTTAGATAGTTGGCAGCATCTCAATTGCTTAGCTGTTTCGAGCAAAAATAATAAAGATGGTGGCGAATTTTCACAAAAAAATTCGCTAAAATTTTGGTTATGTCATAATATCTACTTAAATTTCTGTATCCCGTATTATATATCTCAGAAATGGAGACAAGATCTATAAAAAAAAATAGATCTACTTAAGGATTGAAAACTTGAAAATCTCATTTCTCCCAAACTTTTGTTTTTCCAGTAACTTTTTGAGGCAGATGATCTAACACTTCGTACTGTTAGAAATAAAAATTAGACCAATTTCTTCACAAGTAACTTCCACTTTGGACACTATGATAATAAAGACATCACAAATAAATTTTAGGGTGGGTGCGGGTGAGTGTGGGTGTGGGTGTGTATACATGAAGAGACAATCCATATCCACACCCACAAACACGAAAAAGAATTATCCTCATTCTTGATACTTCTTTTTTTGAACACTAATACGTTCAACACATAGGCAATGTAGGAGTTCATGAAGAGAAAGTACTTTAAAGAGCATTTGTCGAAATTTTATGACACTAAACGAACTCGATCTCCGGAATCGGCAAGATTGAGACTTAATTGCCATGGAAAAGGACACTGGGTTACATTGACATCAAGTTCGTAGGTACTGTTAGTTCGTTCATTTTTCAAACGAATTTTTCGTTGATCACAATCAACATAGAATTCAATTGTGTCATTCATTTCCATGTCGCTTTTATAGCCATTGAAACCACTGTTACAAGTACCATTGAGATAGACTTGATTACGTCCTGCCCAACCATAAGTAGTGGGAGTCCTATATGAGTAATGTATAATGGCAGCATCTTTGGATACTATTGCGAAGAGAATCCATTTGTTGTTGCCAAGTGTTTCGATTCGGAAACGAAATCGATGTTGTCCCGAAGAATATTCACCTTTACAACGAACTGGTGCATGGTTGGTCGAGTAAACATGAATAATGGCACTACCATTGTCCTCAATTTGAGCTTTTCCATCTGATCTTTCAAAAATATCAGTAGCTGATGATTTTTCATCAATCAAAATCTTGGATATAAATGAACTAATATTATTATCTTGACGAATTTTGATCGTCTCTGGTGCGTCCATTTCCTTCTTGAATTCGGTCAGTTTCTCTTTCCATTCTTTGATATCAATTTCAAGAAATGCATCATCATCACGTAATTTACTCAGCTGTTGCGTTAACAGTGTCAATGAATTCTTTATATTATCCATGTGTTGTTCTATAACATTCAACAGGTGTTTTCGTGCATCGTTAGCTGTCTGCTGAATCTTTTCAATCGACCGTTGTTCCCATTCGTCGATTTGTTTCATCAATGGATGTTGGCGAGGTTTTGCTGTGTTCTCATTAAGATTTTGCTCTAGTTGATCATGAAGGATAATGACCTCTTCATCCATTTGTTTGTTGAGTGATTGACGATGTTCATTTGCATGAGTTAAGCAAAAATTTTGCGAACATCCATAGCAAATAAAAGTACCGTTGACTATTGCGCATATTGCACAACGTGGTTTGTTCGATGTTGAAGTTGCCATGTATGTTTGTGAAGT